GCAAAATCCAAACTTCTTTATGGTAAAAAACATAATTAAAAAAAAAATGCTGGCTGGAAAAATGTATATATTGCACTCAGATTAATATTTATAAACTATAAAAAGTACTTCTACAATATTAAAAGATAACTCAATGGAAAAATGGTTTAAAGTCATAAAAAGGCAATTCATGGAGAAAGGAATACCAATTAAGCCAGTAAGCCTATGAAAAAAGGCTTAACCTCATTAAGAAATATAAATTAAAACAACAATGTTTACCCATGATACAAGTAAAAATAAAAGACTAATTTTTCATTGTGGACAGGACTGTGGAGAAAGAGACACTCTTAGCACTCTTAATGGAAGTATAGAATTGTAAAGGATTTATAGTGGGCAATTTTTCATAAGCTACCCAAAATTAAAATGTTCATACCTTTTGATCCAGCAATTCCATTTCTAGGTACCTAATCTATAGAAATAATCACACAAAGCGGGCAGAGATATAGGCAAAAGGATGTTCATTTCACCATTGTTTAATGAAAAACTGGAAATGACCTAAGAATTTACCAATAGGAGAATGGTTAAATAAGTTGTAGTACATTTATACTATGAAATGGCATTCGACATTAAAATGGATAAGGTATATCTATAGATTTAGTTGTATACAGTGATATAAAGAGATAACAAAATGCTTTTTCAAGTGAAAAAGCAAATTATAGAAAATATGCATTTCACAATTACCTTTATGTTAAAAATCCCATCGTGTGTGTGTGTGTGTGTGTGTGTGTGTGTGTGTGTGTGTGTGTGTAAATTTATACAAGGTTTGAGAAAAATGCTAAATTCCTATTGCTCATAAGCAAGGCATGGGATTACACATGTGGGTGAGAGAATTAAGACTTTCTTTTTATTCTCTGTATACTTCTTTGTTCTTTAAAATCTCTTTACAATCAAAATGTATTACTTTTGTAATTTTTAAGTTAAAAAATGAAGGATAAGTCAGATATTGCAAATTTCTGAAAGTTCCCAAAGAAGGATCATAGAGGCAGTAACATGTTTGTTACCTTACATTCACACTGTGCCACTGTGTGGTGTGATGGGAGGGACAGCATCTAATGAGTGCTATGCGGCCTTGGGAAAGACACAACGTTTCTGAGCCTTTGTTTTCTCATATAGAGAATGTAGATAATACCTGCCTTATTTACTTTATTGTCAGTTGTGAAGATAAAATGGAAAAGCAGTTTAAAATTATAAAGCTCTATAAAAATGTGAAAGATATTTAATATTTCATGTGCCAATTTAATGACCCACTTTTTATGAGAAATAGTCAATAACATCAAAATTCAGTCTAAAGCAGAGAATCTAGGTTATTTTTTTTAGTTTATTTTAACAGAATTTTACCTGTCCACATTAGGTCTTACCTAGTAGCAGTGTTCGCATTTTACTTAAATATTCTAGAATGTTTTGTGTTTGTATGAGAGATTCTGGTGCGGATGAGTTTTGGCAATAGTCTTAAATCATATCCTCTACCCCATCTCAGGGCCAACTAGCTTAGACACTAAGCTTTTACTTAATGCCTGCTTTGTACTTAGCCCTCTCCTATGAGTAGGAGGCCAGATGTCCAGGTTTGCCTGGGACTGTTATGGTTTACACTGCCCCATTTAATTGTAATAGCACCCTTTTCACTCTCAAAAATGTCTTAGTTTTAATGACCAGTTATATGGTCACCTTACTATGGTCACCAATGGGGCATGGAAGAAAACAAGAAACCCCTGGCTTATAAACACCAGACTAGAAAATTCCTTTACCATCCCAGCTCCCTACCACTGGAAAAGCCAGCATTATTTCTGGGGAAGCCATTATGAAAACCATGGGTCTTTTGGAGAGTTGGTGGACTTAGAGGTAAAGGCAGAACCAAAGCTGAGAAGAGCTGGTGTGGACCTCCAGAGGGCTGCCCTACAAGTTGTTCTCCTCTGCAAAACCTCCTCCTTCAGACCAGTTCTCTTTATTTCATTGCCTAATATGCCTAGCCAGAGACTTATCTGGGGAGAAAACAAGCATTATGTTTTCAATAGTGTAAATAGGTTGAGAAATGTTCACGGCAATTGATTCTTTTCCTCCTAACAGGGAGTTGATGTCTGCTTGTACAGAGGGGGCAGTGTGTTTATGGGAGGCATAAGGTTGGAAAGAAAGAAGTAATTTTGGAGCACAAGATATTCTGCGGAGTAAGACTCTAGGTTTGCAGGGGGTCATTGGGCCATGAAGGTGGCGGGCAGAAAGGAAGGTGGGTGACAAAGACATGCAATAGTTATGTAAGGGGAAAATGATACTTCATGCTCAATCTATATCTTGGGAAGGGAAAGGCATGTTCTTTCTATGTCACCTCCTGCTCCTTCTTCTTTTCCCCTGCCCTACATGGCCCAGCACCCAGAATTCAAGCCAGTGCTACACTATGTCCTGCATAGATCTGGGAACCAACTTCTCTTTATAGCATTGCTTC